TCTCATGAATAATACCCAAAGATTGTATGAATTTGTTAAACTCATTTGAATCATACTCACCACCTCTATCACTTCTAAACCTTTTAATCTTCATTCCAAATTGGTTTTCAACCTTATTTAAAAAGATTTGAAATTTTTCAAAAGCATCACTTTTATGCTTAATCAAATAAATATAAGTATATTTTGAAAAATCATCAATAAAAGTAATAAAATACCTATGAACACCACGTGTTAAAACTCCCTCAAATTCACAAATATCAGTATGTATTAACTCTAATAAATCAGTTTTCCTTTCAACACTTTTAAAAGGTTTTTTAGTGATTTTAGTCAAACTACAAGATTCACATTTTTCAAAATCATTATTTACTCTGGGTATTAATCCAAGATTACTCATATTTTTTATATATTTATTATTAATATGACATAAACGAGCATGCCAAACAATATTAGAAATCATATAAATAGAACTTGAAGGAACTTTATTCATATCAATATTTAACTTGTACATGCCATCACATGCATAGCATTTCCCAACAAATATACCATTTTTAGTTAAAACATAATGCTCAGATTCATATACCTCTTTGAAGCCAGCCTTACCAAGAAGAAATCCAGAAACTAAATTTTTCCTCATTTGAGGAGTATACAGCACATCTTTGAGAGTCAATGTTTTTCCAGAGGTAAAATTCAATTCCACCTCTCCTTGGCCGGGAACCTTGATTGTATGACCATCACCAAGTCTCACTTCCTTTTCAGCATCATATTCAGAAAATGTTTTGAATCAAGATTTTTCTTTACAAACATGCCTTGTGGCACCAGAATCAATCCACCATCCCTCACCGCCATTAAGCATGTTTATGTCAGATAACATCGCCACAAAGGGCTCCTCGATTATGTTGACCTGTGGAGTAGGCCCACGCTTCCGGAACTTGCAAACTCTAGCAGTATGCCCAAGCTTGCCACACACAAAACATGTATAACTATTTTGTTTTGAAGGAGGTCCTTGGTTCTTAAAATTTTGACTTGGTCTCCCAGCAGAATGACTCCCATAATTCTTTTTCACAATTTTCTTCTTAGATCTCAATTGGGCATTATATTTAAAACTATTATTTTCGGGAAAGCTATCATTAGTGGCAACAAAGTGTACCTTGGATGTGTTGCCTCCATTTGTTGTTCAAGCATATTGATTCCTTGCCTCCTCTTCAACTCGAATACGAGTTAAAAGATTTTCCACGGTGATCTCCTTTTGCTTGTGACGCATCGTCTTTTGGAACTCCTTCCATGAAGGCGGCAGCTTGTCAATAATGGCTACAACTTTGAGATTGTCATCAATTCGTATGCCTTTAGACCGGAACTCATGAGCAAGCATTTGTAACTCTCGAATTTGTGACACCACCGACTTGTCATCCACCATTTGGAAGCGCAACCATCGGCTACCAGCATACATCTTCGCACTAGCCTCTTCAGTGTCATATTTTTTCTGTAAAGCATCCCAAGTTTCCTTGGCAGTGGAGTAAGTTCTTTCATAGTAATCATAAAGCTCATCAGAAAGGCAATTAAGTAAAGAGTTGCGACAGCTATATTCATCTTTCTCCCACTTTTGGACTTTCTTCTTGTGAGATTTCTTTTCCTCAGCACTCATACCTTCGGTTGACAAATTAATAGGATTTTCCTCATTGAGGACATATGCCAATTTTAACAAATTAAGATAATACAAAACTTTTCCTTTCCATCTTTTGAAATGCT